GTGGATAGGGAGCGTAATGTCATGCAAAAACTATTACAAGACCATAGAAAGCGCTTGATAGTTTTATACGAACATGTCTCAGAGAAATTACAGGCAGATAAAGTTAAAGTAAGAGAAAAAAGGGGAGGGACAGAACCACCGACAATTAAAGAGGGCGACGACATTTTTATGTAAAATACGAGAACTAGAAAAGCTAAAGAGTTACCTAGGTACGAAAAAGCAAAAGTTATTGGACAGACTAGTAGAAATATAGAACCTATAGAACCAGTACAAGTTAAGAAAAGAAGTACAAGAGTAGCGCTTAAAAATGTCAAACGACCTCCACAGGTGGTGATGGACAGTCCTGTTGCTAGTGAACCAGGGGACAACGTAGAACGTCCAGAGTCTCAAGCGGAGTCTTGGCATAGCGCCGATGAGGATAGTGGCACCAGTGGTGAAGAATAGTGAATGAAAAATTTTTAAAATGATAGATTTAGATTCCATACGTAGACAGTTACATAGTAATATACAAGAGTATTTTAGAATTAAAGATATTATAAATAAATTTTCAGAAACGCGTAAAGAACTCTTGGGCTTAGAAGTACAAGTAGAGACATTTTTAGACTTAAAAAAAACCATTTGCATCAAATTTTGCCATCGGTAAGAGTTAAAAGAGGACTTCTAAACCCATTAGGGTCAATAGTTAGGGTAATTACAGGTAATTTAGATAATGAAGACGCTATAAGGATGAACAACAAATAAGCAGATTAAAAAATAGAGAACACTCAGTGGAACTCAAGTTATCATTAATGCAGAAAGCCTTTGATAAACTCGTAAATATTTCAGATGACATAAACTTCAATGTTCAACACATACGGTATGAAACTCCACAAATAGATACCATATTTAGTGAGGATGCTAAATTAAATGGAGTTATTTCATTAATGAACAGTATTAACCAAATACTTAATAATTTCAGAACTATTTACAGCATAATACAAGAAGTAGAAACAGTTATTGCATTTAGTAAAATACTAACATCTATATCTAGTCTATTATAAACAGTACAGAATTATTTCAAATTTTAAAAATAGTAGAAAATCATACTCGATTAATCTACTCAGTTACCATGAATAATTTGATAAAGCTAGAACGCAATATTATTTTAAAGTCTTGTATACATAATACTATTTAGGTTACTTACTTACGTTGAAGAAAACACATATATCTATTATAAGATAATTCCTATTCCAATCTTTTATCCCGATCATTATAAAACCTACGTCGTTATTCCTTAATATCTATTCCAACTCGTGAACAGATTGAAATACAGGTCCGTGACCACATCCTGCGAAGAGATTGAAGAACGAAGATTCCAGTGCTTCGAGGATTACATTGTACAATACACCACGGAGACGTGCATTGAACAAATAATGCTTTTGAAACAAAAAGCTTCTCTATGTCTACATCATCCAGTCATGATCGAGGACTTCAAAATATGAAAGATTACTGACGAATTCTGGCAATTCACGAAAAGATATGATCTACAGAAAGCTGCGATAGAGAAATACACAAACAGATCGTGCAAGGAACTTCTCTAGTAACTCCGAAATACAATTGTGAGACATTACTAGGAAACATCTCTATTAGTTTCTCTACAAATACATCAACAGTACGAGTTTCCAAGACATATATCAACCTGCCTGAGATGAACCTGGAAATCAAGAAGGACAACAAACAGCTGGATTTTCGTAGAGTTCATTTTAGTGACGTCAAAGACATTTCAAACATCGCAAAATTTGGTACCGATCAATTTGAAAGTGGTAGTGCCGTAACTTTTGATTTTGATCTGTGGATTTTATTTCTTTATGTAATATTAATAACATTAATTTTATTCTTTACTTACAGATTATTTTTGTCAAAGACATTAAAGCGAAATCATCCGAAGCCTTCTACGTCATCTTCAGATAATTTCGCTCTTGGGGAGGGAAGAGTTAAGTCCAATGAACCTAAGGATATATGCTTCGTCAACTCTAATTCTTCTACTGACTAGACTCTTTCCGAACTGCTTAGTTAACTAGTAATTTAGTATAAGTACTTGTATTTTTTTGACAATTAATTAATATTATTCTGATCTGCTACTCTGCTGGTTTTTTAATACTTCTCGCCGTTTCCGTTACTTATCTAATGCGCTGTGAACATTTGCGTTCGCTTTCATATATACAACATATAATTGCCACTTTACAAAGTAACACTATCTTGGTTTGTGGTATAATATCTATAACACTTATTTAAATGTAGACATATACTCTAGAACTAATTAATATTATAGTTAATTGTAAGTTAATTTAAGCGTCGAGCTTGTGAGCTCATCGCTAGGTGGTTAAACCACAAAATTTTTTCTTAGCTATAAACAAGAGTCATTTTTTGTTCTTGAAATTGAATAAATAGATAACAATAAAAAATGAACGACGTTATTTACTTATGTATAAGATATCAGAGGCAGATCTGATCTACGTTTCTAATTAATAACGTGAATTTCACTTCAAACCAAGGCAATTTGCTAATCTTATCTTTAATTCAAAAGCTGGATTTTTGTCAATGACACTGAAACTATCCTCTGGTACATTAATAATAATAATAATATACCAGTTTTGCCAGGTTTTGGTGATCAGCTTTGGAAATTTAACTGTTTTACATTAAGATAAATTAATGTTTTCATTGTTCGCTTATTTGTATACATGTGTTTTGTGGATAAATCAATTAAATACATTTTATTTATTTATTATTTATTAATAAACACTTCGCCAACTCCATTTTCCGGTCATTTTCTGTTATTTTTGTAAACAGCAATATTTATTGACTAATGTTACGGTCCCCGAATTTCTTGAAAAGATAAAACAAAAAAAAACAATTTAGTGACAAAAAATAAACAAAAAACAAAATAAAAACAGAACAGGTCCAACAATTAAGTTAGTGTAGTGCTCATTGGAGGTATCGATTCTTTCTGGTCTGGGTATTCTGGGAAATACACCGAATAGAATCCCGTTGCTGTGGTAATACAGGTAATTTTCTAATGAGAATTGGTGCGATTTTTGGAGTCTCACTTTCACCAAGTCCTAAAAAATTAATTCTCAATTTTAAAAGAGATAAGCGATATTCCCATATTCCCCGGCAATGGCACAGTCGGTCGGGATCAAGACCTCAGGTTCAAGAATTTGCGAACAATACGCGCCATTTCGAGCACCTTTTTGCACTTGTGCTGGAAATAACAAGCCTCAGAAATTCAGCCTCCTCAAGCTGCTAGCTAGGCTGATTGAATTAATCCGTTGGCGGACAAAACAATGAGGATTATTTCAATGGAGGTCACATTCCACATATCGGTGATCTCTGACGTTTCTCGGTTTCAGCTTTCACGAGACCCTCGTCACTTGGGTTGGTAACGTCCACAAGAAATATCCCTGACTGCGATCGATCTAATATCACAATATCAGGCTTATTCGCTAGTACTGTCTGTGATATTATTATTATAGACAACGGGACAGGGATTACTGTCTACGTTAAGGGAAAACTGCCTCTGTGGCTGAACGGTTATCTATTTATTCTTAACCGGCTTCAAAAAAGGAGGAGGTTCTCAATTCGTCTGCTTTTCTAGTATGTATGTTCATACGATAACTCCGGCGGCATTTGTGAACCGATTTTGATGATTCTGTTGGAAAAAGGGTACTTCAGTATGGGTCCCATTTAAATTTGAAGAAAATTTTAGGGCCTGAGTCTGAAATCGCGCACTTTTCGAGAACCTATTTCAATAAAATTTGACAAATTGATGTAATTCCACGAACTTTCGAGGTCGGTTTTTTTAGTACTCTGTAGGTGATTATTACACTACACATGAAATATCGAACATCTACACGTAAGGAACATCACATGCAATGACAACAATGTACAATGAAATATAAACAAAATTATTGTTGTTTGAAATGTTATGAGCATATTATTAATCCATCTACCTATATTATAGATACACGGTCATACATTTAAAAACTAAAATATAAAGTTCACAGAATTTACCAAGTATAATAAAATTTATTAAAATGTCTTATATATTTTTTATTTTTTATTTTATAAATAACGCACACGCCCATGACCCCGCAATAGGGAAACTCTGTATCACGAGTGCCATGGACATACACATAGGTAGTCAATTTTAATAAAATACTGACCGAAATTGCGTATTTACCATAAGTTTAAGACATATGTTAAGAATAAACTTCTGGTGAAAGGGGACTTTAGTGTTGATGAGCAGGTATATGAACGATAAAACTGCGTGGAGTTAATATTATATCGTTGTGATACTTACCTACAATTTTGTGTGAATTGTTTTATTTACATGACTTATCTTTTTTGTAATCTCTTGTGTGATTTTGACTATTCAAAAATGCTTGTGAATTTGGCTTACTTGAATAAAACTTTATTATTATTATTATCACAAATTACACCCAAACTCACTAGAGAAATATATGTAGGTCATATAAATATACCTCCCGGCCCAGGAAGCGAACCCGAGACCTCTGCGTGGCAGTCCAGCATGGTAACCGTTCAGCCATGGAGGCAGTATAATATCACCGTGAGTTATATGTCCTTATCATGCTGGTCTACCACGCAAAAATCCGAGGTTTACCAATTTAAAAATGTTAATTCGCCCCAAATACCAGGAATCGAACCAGTTACAAACCGTTATCGCAAAATTCAACCAAGAGATACTGAATAAATAAAACAAGTTTTTAATTACGTTTACGACATAACGGAGTTATAAACTAGTGTTGGTACGACATTAAGATATTGTTTATTATTATTCAGTAACCATTATGCAAACAGTTATGCAACGTAGTAGTTTAGATAGAGAAGCCATACAAACATTATGTGCGGTCCGTTACTAACCACGTTAAGGAGTTACTATAGGCAGAGTTGTGTTTCGAGGTAGAAGTGTTTTGCGATAATGGTTTTTCCTATTTTTGCCATTGTGGTTATTCGTTTTTAAACGAGGAAAAATATGGTTATATGAAAACGAACAATCGTGATATTTATTATTTTACACTTCTATAGCTGTTGATGTGCAAAATAGTGTCACAAGTGTCTGTTTGACAATACCAATAAAGTGTGTTAAGTGAGTTTTTGCGATATAACACTTTAATAACATTAATTTTGACTAGTCAAAAATCTTCTAAGTATATAATATCATGGCCTCTAATGATTATGCAAATGTAGTGTTAATTAAATTCAATTTTTAAAGACTGTTTCGGCGTTACAAGTATTTTTCATTATATTAACAAAATATGTTAAAATCAAGGAAGAAAATGCTGCCACTGCCCAGATTGAGAATATTTATTCTCTGCGTGTTACTTTTATCATCATTATCAGTACTCTATTCACTATTACTTATGTTTGTTAAACATGGTCCAACTGTAGAAGAAGAAATGGAACAGGATGATACGAAAATGCTACCAGTACCAGTGTTCGTGAAAGAATCACACAAAAGGGGATCAAGAACACCGCCAGTACAGTTAGATTATGTAGTAGTGCATTTAGACTTTAAAGGAATGCCACCGAAGTTGAAATACTTAGAATCTCTATTAGTGACATTAAAAAGGCACGGCGTCAATGGTTTACTGATGGAGTATGAAGATATGTTCCCTTTCGAAGGAAAGCTAGCCAATTTGAGTATCGGTTATCATTATGAAAAGAATGAGGTAAGTGGTTGAGTACAGTGGATGCCCTAAAGTGTCCCATTTGTTACACATTTTATTATTCAATTCCTTTAAGATTGAAATTCGTGTTCTGTATTAAAGTTCTTTTAATACTTTATTCTTCATTTATTCAACTTAAGGCTAGACATGCAGCTGTAGCTCTAAGGGTCGAAACACAAACTGCGAGTCGACGCGATGCGAATTTGCAACCCAGAAAACTGCGACGTCAATTGGTGCGATGCGATTATGTGCGGCAAGACATCTCTCTGCCACGGTTCGGGTAACCATTCCCTCGACGATCATCAACCGTACTGAAAGTATTTTTTAAACTATGTAGCGACATGGATCGTAAAAAGCGTGTAGCACTGCTGTTATTGATAAGAAAGTATAGAAAAAAAAACACAAAGAAGATTCACATCTCAGGAATGCGCGATGCGAGCCATTCGCAAATTCTCGCGATGCGTCATGCGAGCTCGTAGATTTCTGCGATGCGACGTCGCATCCCAGTTTTATGTTTCGACCCTTAAACCACTGCGGGTTTATCCGTCGACAACGATTCGCTCTAACAAGTATTTTTATAGTTTGTTTTTACATTCACCTCTAACACATGAATCTTGAATGCACGCAAGCAATTCGTTCAGCAATTTAGGAATTACATAATCTAATTTTCGAATACCATACACATTATTCGTTAGTAGTAAGTATGGTAATGGTACTAATGATCAACATTTTAAGGGAAGTGTCTTTAAATTTGAACTAAGTTTTTGTTTTTAAACATATATCAATAGTGATTAGTTTACTTAACAGATATAATGCTCAAGAAAAATTATGCTGTATAGTCCATTTGTTTAGGTATTTAACTAAATGTAAACAATCTTAAGATGTATATTTAATGAAATATACATTTATAAATGATTTTTTCTAATCTTCAAATGAAAAATACAAATAATCAGCTTCATATGAAATTGCATGCCCATTTTTATGCCTATTGATTTGTAAAGTGTATGTTTCAATAAAAAGATGTATCGTATTGTTTAAATTTAGTTAAGTACCTATACAAATGGACTATGGCATGTTTAATAAAAAACCTATTATAATTATAACTAAAAAAACCTAAACTAGAATTTCTCTAAATCTCCAGTAAATCAAAAATCCACTAATAAATTTACCAGTAATCGACACTCACCAAGAGTGAACATCCAGTAACTGACACTTATTAGTATAACAAACGTGTTACTATGATAGAAAATTTTGTCCTAAATCTTATGAGAAATGAATTTTAAAAAAGATGTCGAGCATTGGTGCCACCACCTTATTTGTGGTTTTAAATTGAATGCACAGCTAATGACTGGTCAACCTCATGCAAAAAATGTCAAAAGAAGTCTTTTTAAGTAAATTATATAATATTATTACAAATAAATATATAAAATAAAAAACGAATGAATGAAATATTCTGTATTGCACATAAAATTACAATTAAAATACAATACAATAGCTTAAGTATAATAGTAGTAGTAGTAAGTCAATGTGCAATTGTTATGTAGCAATTTCTTCCAAGCAACCTTAGGATAGACATTTCGGATATGCAAAAGGGGTGCAACCAAAGAATATCATCATAAGTAAAGGAAAAAGTAAAATGAAGCATAAATGTAGGAAATAAATGAAGGGATAGTAGAGGACAGACGAAATTTAGGAGTTGAGGAAGTGATCCTTGACACGTTGTTTGAAGGAATCAAGAGAAGGGGATCGTTGAATCGATTCAGGGAGAGAATTCCACAATCTGATCTAAAGAGTTGGAATAAAAGTTAGAGGTATGAGAGGGCAAGTTAAGTAAGAGAGTATCAGAGGAGCGAAGGGGACGACAGAATGTAGAAGAGTGGAAAGTAAAGCGATCTTTAAGATAAGAAGGCGTAAAGGTATAGAACAGAATTGTGATAGAATAGAGAAAACCTACGTCTATACAACAAAATGCTAGTTTATTTTAATATTTTTCAAAAACAAAGGCACACAATCTGCGCGTACGTCCAAATATTCACTATTTATGATATATAAATTACAAATTCTGTATATGGCTAACTTCGTGCCAAATTTGGTTCTTCGAAGAGGTGGACAAAGTGGTTGGATATAGTATCGAGTGGTATCTATAAGTTGTCGTTTGCACTACAGAAACGTCTGTAGCTTCAAACGTTTCTGTCGTGCCAACGTTTAATTTATCGTCTAACGACTGTCGTTCTAGTACTTCCTGTGTCGTTCTAGACGTCAAAAAGTCGCGAACGAAAGTTAATTGTGTTATACAACACGTGAACAACTTCTTTAAATATACAAGTTGCGGCACTTGAAATTGCACGACTATTTATTGTCACTACATAATTGTAACGCGCCGTAACACTGTACAGCGTCACACTGAAGCTAACGCATCCCATCAGCGTGACCAATATCTAGCTGGTAGACTTATCCAATAGACCAAAGCATGTGTGGCCTGCGTTCAGGTAAAATGCCAGTATACACCGACACATCTACGGGACCCTTGTAAAAGCCCTAAAATCATTGTGAACGGTAAGGGTGCTGGACAAGTTACAAGCACATGGAACTTTTCAACTCATGTCTCAGGGTGAATGACCCACAGATCTTTGTGATTGAAGAACTTGAATGACGCTGCAAGTGTTATGGAGTACTAAGTCGTTAATTTAATTGCTATGTTATCTCTAATTTTTATTAACCGACTTCAAAAAAAGGAGGAGGTCTCAGTTCGACTGTATTTTTTTTTTGTGTATGTTACGCAAATACTTCTACGCGATTATTTAAAGGGAGTAACGGTAGTAGTGGTCTCATTTAAATTTGAAGAAAATATTCCACCTCTAAGGGTGGCGAATTAGGAGATGAATCTGGTTCATTGGATTTCACGCACTTTCCTTTAACTGATTGTAATAAAACTTAGCAATTGTAATTCCACAAACTTTACAATTATATGAACGTTGCCATTTTGTATTCTCATTTTTTCCTTCCGCTAAATATGCCGAGTATGTTATAACGGAGAAACCCATTTGTATTCTGTAAAAGAAGTATTATTCTTTGTTTTGTAAGTCACATAGAAAAAATGGAACATTTACCAACCTATTCTTGTATCATATTTGTTTGTCACAAGTATTTGATTGTTGATGTTACCGGCCATTCTCAAAACAGCAAATTTTTGCACGTGCGCGCCTTTCCTGTCCCACCATAACATCAAACAAAATCCTAAAAATATTTTTTTAAATAGTGACGGGACGAACAAGACGAACAAGAGCAGAAAGGAGGTCACGACCTAAAAACCCAATAGAAATACTTTTACAAGTACAGATATTAAAATAGCTGTACCGATTTTCACAAAATAGCAGACTCGATCTAATGGCCACTTGTGCAAACGACAACTTTTCTGTTTGTTTTATAACATCAAGTGACGGGACGAACAAGTCGTGCGTCTGATGATACGCCTGTCTATGACAGTTGCAGTGCCACTCAGAGCTTTAAATCGCAAAGATCTGAGGGGCACTGCCGCTGCGCCTATCACCCTGGGACATAAGTTGATAAGTCCCATGTGCCTGTAATTTCACCAGCACCCTTACCCTTCAAACCCGGAACGCAGTATTGCACATATTACCGCGGCGGTAAAAATAGGTAAGGTGGCAGTACTACCTTGGATGAGCTCTGTCAACCCACCTCCACTCTAATTCTTGTAACTCTATCAACTAATATTTTCTATAGAGTTACCAGAATTAAAGACGATATGGGTTATATATTATTAGTAAATTACATTTTTCAAGGAAATATGTTGTCGCTTATTGAAAAAAGCGAGCTATGAGGCCTTTATGTATGTATACTGGAGTATTTTTAAGCACTTCCACTTTATTTTTTAAGAAAATTATTCGTGTTCTAAGTACCGTAGTATTGATTACCGTAGCATGAAACTATAAAGAGTTTGAAATATTACATACGATTTTGCGTCATGACAAAGTATATATAAAGTATAATATATATGTTTGAACAAACAAATTATGATACAAACCAGACTTCTAAATAATTGGACTTCATAATCAAACGAATTAACAATACTTTTTTAAAATAATGGCGAAATCAGCGGCGATAACGTTCACAAATAATAAAATTTTATACCAGCGATAAAAATAGAGAAGGAAAAAGACGGATATAACAAAAGAAAAAGAGAAAACAGTTTCAGTTTGGGAAATAACTGTTACAAAGTTAACAAACCAATATAACCAAATTCGAAGCATAATAGAAAAAACTACAAGCAAAAATGACAACAGTTGAAGGAGGGGTTTTTTTTTATATAATATCAGATGACGGGACGAACAAGTCGTGCACCTGATGGTAAGCTACACGCCTGTTCATAACAGTTTTATATCGCAAAGATCTGAAAGACAGCAGTCGGATCACTGCGCCCGTCAGACTGCGACTTATGTCTCAGGATGACTCCTGAGACATAAGTTGACATATCCCATGTGCTTGTAATTTCACAATCCTGAAAGCAGTAGGTTCTGAAGAATGTGTTCACAATATAAGGAATTCCTTTGAATGTCCATCACCAATAAATGCGCGAAATATAGTAAGTTTACAGCGGTTTATGCGCGCTGTTAAAAAAGCCACAAAAATGTTCTTGGGGAGGAATTTTGCCAGCCATCTACTTGTTCTAGGAACTCTACAAATATGCATTCTTTAGACGAATGCTCGAAGTACTGTGTTTGCGTCAATTTGTTGACACCACGTCTGTCTATAATTTAATCGATTTTTTTGATACAGCTGCATTATTATATTTTATATTTTGCCACGTTTTTTCATAAATTTGTGGTAGATGTTTCAGTATGGCATAGATCTGAGGGGCACTACCACTGCGCCCGTCACATAAGTTAACAAGTCCCATGTGCCTGTAATTTCACTAGCACCCTACCCTTCACAGTACACACCCGGAACACAGTAATGCTAACATTACTGCTTGGCGGCAGAAATAGGTAAGGTGGCAGTACTACCTTGGACGAACATCTTGTCTTGAACACTTATAATATGTTTGTATCTTAATAACTCCAAAACTGCTTTGTCTATTCTAATGCCATTTAGACATTATAATAATTTAGCTGAGTTGTTCATATTTCAATGTTATTGGGTATATGTTAAGCGTTAAAAAAATGGCCACGGTAATTAGGCTAATATTAATAATAATTATTCGTTTATTTGCTTAAAACATGGTATAACAGAAGATGTTACAAGAGACAGTGCCACAAACATGTTTCGCATATAGGATTAAAATTAGGATTTAATGCCGGAAAAATAGTTTCATTTCCGATATGTCGTAATCGCGAAAACCTAAGAACTCCATATGTTTCGCATAAATTAATAGCATGCAAATGTCTAGTTACAAGTATAATGTCAAATATACTACCACAACACAAAAATAACAATTTTTAAAACATGTCAAATTGCAAATTAATTTGTCAAGAACATTGACTTACAGTCAAGATTGATAACCTTCAAGATAAAATTTTACCTCTTATTTCCTGTCAAATATTTCGTATAAGTCCATTGACTTACAATTAAGAAATATTTTATTTAACCACTTGTACAGCTTTGTTTTAAATGATTTTAAGTGTAATTTTTAATCTCAAGTGGAATTTTATTATATAAGTCAATATACATTTTTAAACAACTTTTACTGTATTTAGCCGTCATAGGAATAGTGTCAAGTACTAATATTCGGGTTTCGGCAGATTCTAGTATTCACATCACAGGCTTTCTTAAACAAATATGTCTGTTTTCGTACAAATATACAAAATTCGTATATATATATGGTAGTGGCAACAGACCAAGGCTCTGAAACAAGGGTATGCACGTTTCATTCGGGGGAATTCCACAAATTGCTCTAGTGCATATATTTAGTGTTACAAAATATTACAGTTACTTACTGAGAAAGTTCTGGAAAGGAAAACCTTCAATAGCATTGAATTTATTAACCTTCTTAATTTGTTTAATGGCCTGGGCTCTTGTCAGTTTAATGCTATCATTATTCAACAGCCCATACGCGTCCCACAGCAAGACACTGGTTTTATCTTGGATAGGGATTAGAGACAACCCATTCATTGCTCGGGGCTTGGGGAACAGCTTTGAAATCTTCTCCATTAATCAGGACATTTTTCTTCACCGTTAAATCAAGCGATATTTAAAAATAATAAAAAATTTAATAGAGAATTTAGGACCTTCTACGTAGAAAACAAGCATATTAGAAATAAAATTTAGTAGCAGTAGCGCTTCTTGTGAAAGAGTTCGTCCAGGGAAGTACTGCCACTTTACCTATTCCTGTCGTCAAACAGTAATGTGAGCGTTACTGTGTTTCGGTTTTGAAGGGTGCTGGTGAAATTACAGGTACATGGGACTTTAAACTTATGTGCCAGGGTGTCGGGCGCAGTGGCAGTGCCTCTCAGATCTTTGCGATTTAAAGCTCTTATTGGCAAGGCAACTGTTATGGACAGGTGTATCACTTCCCATTAGGCTCTCGATTTGTTCATCCTATTACTTATAGTCATAACAAATGAAACTATTTTTTCGTATCAGTATCTCTTATATTTGTTTTTTTCTAACAAACCAATGTTTTGGGCCCTTTACAACGCCTATGGTCACAGTTGAAATCAAAATCAAAATAATATTTATTTCATAGGTAAGCATTATTACAATTGAAATATTCACATTGGTTAAACTCTACCGATCATGAGAAGAATGAACAAGAAACTTATAGTTTCTATGTTCTATCTATGTATAGGTTGCTCTTTGCAAATAGACTATGTATATAAATAGATATATGTATATTTTCTCAAACATCGAGACTACCTTCAAAAGCTACTTAGAGGGTCACTACCACGGATTTTTGTCATTGAAGTACGCAGGAGTTTTTTTTTATAATATCGAATGACGGGAGGAACAAGTCGTGCACCTGATGGTAAGGTACACGCCTGTCCATAACAGTTGCAGTGCTTCTCATCTCTTTAAATCGCAAAAATCTGAGGCGCACTGCCACTGTGATCGTCACCCAGAGACGTAAGTTGACAATTCCCACGTACCTGCAATTTCACCAGCACCCGTATCCTTCAAAACTGGAATACAGAAATGCTGACATTATTGCTTGGCGGCAGAAATAGATAAGATGGCAGTAATTCCCTGGACAAACTCTTTCACAAGGAGCTCTACTGCTACCAAAGTTGTATGAATAACCTTTAGCATAAAGTTTTTGTTTCACTATAGTTTTAAACCTCGTGAATGGCAAATTTTGTATATCAACCGGAATCTTGTGACACTTTGTCTCGTAGGCGAAGGATGCTTCTTCTGGCTCAATATATATGCGCGTTCCATCATAAGGTGGATATTGACAAAATGTCTAAGATTGATCTGCTGGTGCCCACGCGTAAACCTTGGGGTGATGAGGGAGCGGTGGCCCCGCGCCACCGGCCGCGGCTCTAACGCAAGCCCGACACTCGTACGGTACATGCCGCAAACGCGCCTGCCGTTCACGCTAACATACTCACTCACATTGACATATTCGCTGATAGCGTTAAATATAAATGGGAGAATTATAAATTTAGAATTAGAATACTTTAGTACTATCGTAATTAAATAAATTTATAATTATCTGTAAGCGTAAGCACATGTAAGCGTGTTGGCTATTTAGCTGTAAGTTGCAATGTAAATGAATGAACAAATAAATAAATAAGAACGCGGTAGTAAGCATTTTTTCTAAATCAAATAGAATAATTAAGCGATGAGTAGAGAAAGAGCCTTAGCTCTGATATCAGTATAACAATAGGTACTATTATATTATAAAACACATCGTGCCGGTTCCGAACATGTTTTTACAGTCCTCCTTATTGTATTTTATCAATGTCATATAATAGTGCAACAATTTGTAAATATTGTTACGTTTGTATAAATGTTACAATCGATACCTCCTACGTATGTTGTTGTAAGTCAAAATATCACTTTTTTGCTTTTCAACTTAAATGATATCATTTTTATTTACATTACAAGTTACATATTTAAAAGTAATGAAATCACTTAGAGTTATGTTTACTTTCAAACACGGAACCTATACGTAAAAAACGATATATTTACGTGAAAAAGCAAAGAAACGGTATTTTGACTTACGACAACTTACGTGGGCGTGGGAGGTATCGATGACCTATATAAGTGATATGTGAGCACGACTGCGTTCCAATTTTGAACGGTAAGAGTACTGTTGAAATTATAGGCACATGGAACATGTCAACTTAAGTCTCGCGCAGTGGCCGATCTCTGAGATCTTTGCGATTTAAAGTTTTGCTGCTATTGACACGCGTTTCCCATATCATCAGGCGCACGACTTGTTCGTCGCGTCGTTTGGTATCGCAAACAAGTCATTATATACATAATTTTTTGTCGGTCCATTTGATGGAAGATAATAATCGCGAAGTATTAACATTCCGGAAATTTAAAATAATTTTTCTATACCTGTATATAATCAATCAATAATAATTTCATAAACCATATCACAAAGGCGCTCTTCTTAGTTCTGATTCAAAATTCTTATTATCTATGGTACTTGATTCTGAATTGAACAGTCTCAGTACAGAGTACTAAAAAAATCGACCTCAAAAGTACGTGGAATTACGTCTATTTGCTAAGTTCTATTGAAATATCGCCTAGTTCGCCACCATACAGGACTTGACACTGGAAATAATAAAAATCGGTTGTCACTACTCAAAGTATAATGAGAGAAAAACGCCTTGAATTGGAGAAATAGCAAAATCAACCATTAAAATAATTGCTCCTAAATTAAAGTATAGGCGCTATTTATAAAAATGAATCTTCATGCGGGAACAGCCACCCTTAGAGGTGGATGATTTTCTTCAAAATGAAATGGGACCACTATGGAATTACCCCTTTCCAACAAAAAAAGAATCATGAAAATCGCTTCACAAATGCCGCAAGCAAGAATTATCGTGTAACATATATACAAAAAAAAACATACAGTCGAATTGAGAACCGCCTCCTTTTTTAAAGTCCGTTAAAAATTAGTTCTATACACAGAACTATAATGAGTTTCAATAAAACAAAGTAGTATTCATGTTAATTGAAATACCAAATATGATGCTTCTGTACTGCCTCGTGAGTAATTAAATTGGGCTAAAGACCTTGCAATCGGGCTTCCTTTATAAATAAAAATAAAATTGATTCACAATTAAGCGATCCTTGACAATTTCTCTTCTATTTCTTTGATTTTTTGTTTTGTAGCGTTTGTTTGGCTTTTATTTGAGTTTGTTGTCATGGATTGTTAACAAAATGTACATTAAATATTGGTTTTTATTTTTTATTACTCGTAGAAAAAGTATTCTAAGCAATCATTACATAATTAGGTCGTAAACCACGACAAGAAGGCTTATAGCAGTTAGTGACGTAATTTGACTTCAAAGAGTTGTAAACCTTCTTTAACATGCTGATTTCATCGCTATGTTTTTATTTACCGTTAGCAAGAGGTATTGCTATTGACCTACCAACAAATAGACGACTGGTCTAAAGGTGTCCACAGACCGAACCCGCCGACCCGGCGACAGACGGTATGACAGCAGCATTCCTAACATTACTAAAACATTCCTTTATTTATCTATAGGCTCTCATAATAATCAATGTAACTAATCAATGTAACTCACGTAAACAATATATAAGTCGCATTGAAATTCTCATGCTGCAATGACCACGATTCAAACAATGGCAAGTATGTGAATATAAATAGAGTTCTAAATGATTTATTTATTTTTCAGCTGAGAAAATTCCTGCAAACTGCAGTGAGACTAGGATTTGAGATCATACCCCTTATACAGACTTTTGGTCATATGGAGTTTGTATTGAAGCTGAATGAATTCGCACATCTAAGAGAGAATCCTAACCGTCGGGATTCGATTTGCCCTAGCCAAGGTGAAAGTTTACAGTTGATCAAGGAAATGTTAACACAGGTACGTAAACGTAACGAAAAACTCATACCCATACCGTCGTAAACAAGTTATAAAAGAAAAACTTATTCCGTCGTAATCAAATTACAAAAGTAATTCCATACCGTCGTAATCAAATTGCAACTGGTGAAAATTATTTAGTAAAAAAAACAGTTTAGCAAAGTGTGGTTTAATTTTCGAAATTTCATATTTTGATGATCTTGGTGACACAGCTGTTACATCTATGGACGCTTGATATGGATTCGATTTCGTTTACGACGATGACCAGTTTCGATTCCTGATAGAAGCATTTTACGAAAACAAATTCTTCAAAATTACTACTGGTGTGGGTGTTTCGGACAGTGCCCGAGACACTCATGGTGCAGGTTATTATGTTGTTTGAAAACAGGTGACATAAACTGATATAAATATAAAACAATACAATACTTTATGTCATTTAGACATAAGACAATGGCATATATAAGATTCATTTTTCAATCGTAATTTTTGATAAGCGTGTCCTCAATAATCATTTCAGATAATACGTTGTTCCGTGCAGGTCTTAAACCACCACAATATTGCTATTGTGGTGGTGATATATAATTCTTGTGAATTATAACACTATGTAACATGATTTTAGTTTCTGGGTTATCAATATCGTTTTCTACGTAATTGGTTCTATTTGCAAAAACGTTGCTTTTGTGGTCATGACAACGAAAAGTTAAAATGTTTTTGTTTTTAACCGCATTCAAAAAAAGGAGGAGGTGCTCAATGAGACTGTTTTTTTTTGTATGTATGTTACGCGATAACTCCGCCATTTGTGAAGCGATTCTGATGATTCTTTTTTTGTAGTAAAGAGGATACCTCGGAAGTGGTTCCATTTAAATTTGAAGAAAATATTCGACCTCTAAGGGTGGTAAACTAGGGGATGAATGACTTTTGAGGTCGGTTTTATTAATACTCTGTAAAGATGGTTTTTTTTTTTTAATTTTCGCGTTTCTATTTATTTGAAGACAAAAAGGAAACATTATATTTCAAATGAAGAAAATATTTCAAACAAAGTTCTATAAATTTATGGCAAGGAATCCATAGTCGATTTCGTCGCCTTGCTTTCTGAAACTCGTATCATAAAGCACAAGTTACTAAAATGCAAGAAATGGATTGTGTATACAAAATTGGCAGGCTTATTTCACATCTCATTTCCTTCATATTCACACACTGGCTTTTACCTATTCCTAAAGTAACGCATCCAAATTAACACCTTTTATGAGAAATTTAAAATAAATAAAAAGTTTTGCCTCTCCTGAATAATCACTCTTTATAAGATACGAGTTTGAGAAAGTACGGCATCGATTTGTTTGGGTACTTACATTGACTTACAATTATATGGACGTCGGGTCCGCGCTAAAAAGTGTCCGAACTTATAGGACGTTAAAATCGTATAGAGGGCGTCATTCACGCTTTAGTCTTCGTTTGTTCGACTGACAGCGAAGCAAGCAAAATTAGACAGTACTCCGATGACATTACAATTTAAATTCAACGTTTTAGCTTTTTCATATTCCTTTACATGTCACTACGTTTAAATAGGTTGACTTGGGTCATTTTTTTCGTGGTTTTTGTATTAGACCCGTCGTCCATTTATTTGTAAGTCAATGGGTACTTAAATAAATGTAAACAATCTTGAGACGTCTATTTAATGAAATATACATTTATAAAATGATTTTTAATTACCTTCAAATACAAAATACAAATACTTAGCTTCGTACGCAAATTGCATGCCTATTTTTATATCTATCGATTTGTAATGTCCATGTTTCAATCAGTGACCTACCAACAAATGGACGTCGGGTTCGAGCGAAAAAGTGTCAATCGCGCAACAGCCTTTGTTGTCAATCATGCAGTACTATATAATAATAACTTGTAAAAATTACTGCAGTCAAGTGTAAAAACAGGATTTTGTAGCATATTTTCACTAAACAAATAATTGTGTTATCATAGTTATCATTTAAAAGTCTTATTTTGTACAATTTTATAGTATTTAATTTATATATAAATGAATCGTAAATATAAATTACAAAAGCACACAAAATAATCAAATAGCTAACTGTCCTTTTTCTACACATCGCATGCGCAAAAGATGGAAAGAGACCCATTACGTCAATTTCAAGAAACTTATAAAAACTTCTTGGCCATTTTCATTTGTTCGAACCACAAGCGATTGAAATATTTAGAACAAAGAAACTATACAGTCGCTTTGATTTTAATCTTATTTTGATTGAAATGGTTTTTTATTAAACCTTAGCAATAAAACAAAATATTGTTTTATTCGTTTTACCGACGATTACCTATCAGAAGTCGGAAACTATATTTGCCCGAAATAACGTTAGCTCGAATTTCCATAATGTTAAATTTTTTTAGGAATATTACAAAACAAAAACTAATTTTGTCTTTGTGAAAAGCATCACAAGTACTTGAAAACGTAACGGTTTTATTATAAATCGGTTTTCGAAATTACGGATGTTTGAGATTATGTTTAGTTGGAATATCGGTACATTTCTTATAGTACACGCTTATTTTGACATTTATAATATTTCTGTATGTATCTGCCCAACTCTATTATTTCTTTATGTAAATTTGTACAAAATTCGACATAATAATTATATAAAAATTAATTAATATTTACAACAAAGACTGCTCCATTACTCTTGTGTTCAAGTAATTTTTAGTCGAAGCTAAATACGTATATGGTGGTGCATTTTGTAAGTATCCAGTAGAAGCTGAATATCGATGCCTTACTTTCTCAAACTCGTATCTCATAATAGAGTGATCATTCAGTAGATGGCAAAACTTTCTATTTATTTTAAATTTCTTATCAAGGGTGTTAATTTGGACGCATTACTTTAAAAATAGGTAAAAGCCAGTGTGTGAATATGAAGGAAATGCGAGGAGACATCAGCCTGCAAAATTTGTATATGCGTTTTTTCATTTCAGTTACTTTGTGCGAAACGAATTTGAGAAAGCAAAGCGACGCTACAGTGTTTTTGGGCCCTTAAATTGTTGCAAGCAAAATTAGGCAGGACTGCAATGATATTACAATTTATATTAAATGTTTTAGTCTTTTTTATGTTTCGTCTCATGTCACCTTCATGTCACTACGTTTGTATAGGTTAACTTCGAACATTTTATTTGTAGTTTTTGTATTAGACCCTTAGAAGATGGAAAAAAAAAAGGAAATTAAACCCGACGTCTATTTGTTGCTAAGTCAATGGTTTCAATAAAAAGATGTATCAAGATTGTTTACATTTAGTTATGTTCCTGAACAAATAGACTACAGAAATGTGTCGATATGCGAGATTATTTAAATACCATTATGTAGATATGTAAATAGGCAGCTATGTAGAGTAATACCACTGTGACAGCCAAAGCAACGTTTCTGGGGTATAGCTACTTTCTTCTACAAACTTGGTGCTCAATTTTATTTTATGTAACATCATGTGACGGGACGAACAAGTCGTGCGCCTGATAGTAAGCTAGACGCATATCCATAACAGTTACAGTGCCACTCAGAGCTTTAAATCGCAAAGATCTGAGAGGCATTGCCACTGTGCCCGTCACCCTGTGACGTAAGTTGACAAGTCCCTTGTGCCTGTAATTTTACCAGCACCCTTACCCTTCAAAACCGGAACACAGTAATGCTGACATTACTGCCTGGCGGCAGAAACAGGAAGGGTGCTATTATACAATTATAATAATAACGCAATAATAATAACACACACACTCATAGCCCCGCACTATGGAAACGTTGTATCGCGGATGCTATGGACACATACATAGACAACCACATTTGACAAATCACACCCAAACTCACGAGAGAAATATTTCTCCCGACACGGGAATCGAATCCGGGACCTCTGCGTGGCAGTGTGGTGACCGTTCCACGGGCTGTTCCGACATCCGTCCGAAACCATTACTGTCAAATAAGTAATACTCGACCAAACATAATACTCTAATATTTCATCAATTGTTTTCAAAAATGGCGGATGAAAGCAGACACCGTGCAAGCTCTAGGACGCTTGACGGTTTAATGGGCTAATATCATAATATAGTAAATCTATGGTTTTTACAGAGGTTAAGGCTAATATCATAGAGTTTTGTCTGTTCCGGAGGCACGTTGATTCCGCAATACGCAACATTGACTTTATTACTTTAATTGTTTTATTTTCTTGCCATATACAGGTCATTCAATTTCACAAAGAAATTGTTCCTTTGAAACACATCCATATTGGCTGCGACGAAGTATATGAGATGAATAAATGCAACTTTTGCAAGAATAGACATCTCTCCAAATTGTAAGTAATTTTATGCAATAATAAGTAATATACAGCATTATGATTGCTTAATTTTTTTTCTAAAATCTACCTTATTTATCATTATAGGGAACTCTACCTGAAGCACGTGTTAAAAGTAGCTGACATTATAAAACATCTCTCTCACAATACAACTGTACTTATTTGGAACGATATACTTCTAGAGACAAACAAAGAGTTCTGGAATACAACTGAACACATTAACAATATAGAAGTAGTTTACTGGCACTACAAACCAAACATATACCTATCACACTCTGCCTTATATATACAACACAAAGTTTTCCCAAACATATGGATAGCTTCAGCTTTTAAAGGGGCTGATGGTATAAATTCACTCCTTCCAAATATATCTAATAGAGCGTTAAATACTATGAGCTGGATGACCCAAATTCTAGATTATCGATTTGGAGGAGAAAGCACAGTATACAATTTCAAAGGAATCTTCCTGACTGGCTGGTCCAGATATAATCATTTTGCATCTGTATGTGATCTCCTCGTACCCTCAATACCAAGTTTACTATTTGATTTACAAATTGTCAACCAATTCAGGCATGGAGTTGACGTGAAAGACATGGATAAAGATAACATTCGATTTATTAATGGAAATATACAGAAACGAGTAAAACATGACTTATCATGTGATGTCAATTCAAAAAGGACATTTGATTTTACATCGTGCAAGTTCGAAGGTTCGGAATTGTATAGTGTACTTAGCAATTTCGCAACATTAATGAATAACATAACTGTTCACGTCAATACTATACTCACACAACGTGATAGGGGAAAAACATTTAAGGATTGGTGTAGCAGAAATTACGAAGAAATAAATAACTTTAGATCTATATTGCCGCCTCTCTTAACTCCTTATTATGAACAGAGACTAATCAATGAATATGTTCATATAAAATGGTTAGAAGCAAAACACAAAATGTCTATTTGCTCTCTACCAAAATTTAGAAAAAATGGTAACTATCATTACAGATAATTTTAATGACTAGAAACATTGACTTACAATTATATGGACGTCGGGTCCGCGCTAAAAAGTGTCCGCACTTGTAAGGCGCTAAAATCGTATACAGAGCGCGACACTCCGCTTTAGTCGTCATTTGTTCTACGGACAGCGCGATACTGCGATGACATAACAATTTAAATTTCGAATAGGTTGACTTGGGACATTTTTTTCGTGGTTTTTGTATTAGACCCGTCGTCCATTTATTTGTAAGTCAATGACTAGAAACCATAGATTTAGTATATAGAAACTATCACAAAAGAATAACAAAACAGAAAGAAATCTCTATCAAGTCACCTTGTCTAGTCTGGTCTATGCTTTACAAATTTGACATTGAAATTTGTAAAGCATAGATGACACTAAGTTGTCAAGAATGTTTCAAAGTTTATTCATTGGGGTCAAGCTGTGAGAAATAAAATTAGGGAATTATGATTTGTATTGTAATAATAATATATGAAATATAAAATTATTAACTAGTGATCAATATCTTTTATTCATCAAGAATAATTCTCATTAAATGCCTAATAAATGAAAAAACACCAAAATATTTTCTATTGCTTTTTCGATATCAGTTTTAGTTAAATATAATGTCGAAATTCCCAAAGAAAGTACAACCTCTACGTAAAGCAATTATCATTTGCATTATTGTAGTAGCCACTTTATCAGCCCGTTATTTCACTTCTAATGCAATTACTAAGAGTGACCTGAACAAGTTAAACGTAATCACAAAAATGAACCTGAAGAACTCTGCCATAAATGAATCCAACCGTGGGGAAATGAAATCATCACCGATAAACTTGGATTATGTAGTAGTGCATTTAGATTTGAAAGGAATACCTCCAAAGTTGAGCTACTTGAAGTCCCTGCTGGCAACGTTGAAAAGAAACGGCGTCAATGGCTTGCTGATGGAATACGAGGACACGTTTCCTTATGAAGGAACATTGGCCAATTTGAGCGTTGCTCATCATTATACGAAGGATGAGGTGCGTCCATTGTCACAGTATATTTATGTAAACTTTTAGATATTAACAAATAAAACTTTGTCACTTGGTTATGATATGCCATTGTAAAGACTTCATTTTTCAAATGAAGAAACCTGCAATTTTGTAATTACAGGTTTCCTACCACGGTATGAGTTTTTGTTTTCCCGATATTTTGGAACGATGACACGCTCCATGGTCGCGAGTTGACTGGAAAGCGGCAGATGACTGCTTTGGGAGCAGACATATCTGTCTACCCTTTACTGTACTGTCTATACTCAAACCATGGTAAGAAACCTGTAAGTAGTTATAATCATTTATAATTACCACGAACGACCGTATTACCGTTCAAAAGCATTATCCGATGGGACGCGATATTAAGCGTCCGATGTTATTTGTATGACATGGCTTTTATTCAAGACAGATGTCTCGTGTTCAAGTTCCTATCACATTGTTCCAGTAAGAATATAGAATTTTTCGTGCAAAATGGCTTACTAGGTCTTATTGAGTTTCACCTCTAATGAGATAGTTTGATTTTACAGTTAAAAACATTTCTGCAAGTAGCTGCAACATCTGGATTAGAAATCATACCTCTGGTACAGACTTTTGGGCAAATGCAATATGTACTCAAACATGAGGAGTTTCAGCATTTGAGGGAAAACCCTGCACGCCCTGACACGATTTGCCCTAGCCAAAACGGAAGCTTCGAACTGATTAAAGAAATATTGACACAGGTCCGTATACTTCATTACTGAAAGCAGATAGCAGCTTTTTCCATACGTAGGTGAACTTTCAGGTTACATTATGTTCTAACAATAGGTCCAGATCAAACAATAGGTTTCAAAGTTTCCCTCTGAAAGTCAAATGCCTATGCAAAACTACAATAGGCTGCAAATATGAGTCAAGTTTTCTGTAAACGGAATGAAACTCCGGAAATTTTGTATTCGTCATCGTCATCATTCAACCATACGACGGCCTCTGCTCGACGACGCGCACATAGGCCTGAGCTAACGATCGCCACGACGATCGGTCCTGCACTGCCCGCATCCATCGGCTTCCCGCGACCTTTACCAGATCCTCGTCGGTCCACCTGGTGGGGGCCTACCCACTGAGCGTCGTCCGGTGCGCGGTCGCCATTGAAGAACCTTTCCGCCCCAATGGCCTTCGGTTCTTTTAGCTATCTGCCCCGCCCACTGCTACTTCATCTGAGCAATTTTTCAGCTATGTCGGTTACCTTAGTTTTTCTAAGGATTTCCTCATTTCTGATTCTATCACGTAGGGAAATAGCATTGCTCTTGTATTTGTTAGAAATTACAATTTTAATAGATACATATTGTACTGATTTCAAAACTTTTGTCAGATAAACATTGTGTTAGTTTTTCCCCGCTAGGTTCCTTCATTTTAGACCTAAGGATCCCTATAGTCACACCAAGTTTTTTCTTATTATACGAGCAGGCTTTACCACCTCTTAATTCGTGATTTATACTCTGCAGGTTCTCGGATTTCACCAGTCAATCGCTCCATTGAAACACGTGCATATTGGTGGCAATAAAATATCGGTATTAAACGAGTGCGCATTCTGTACTAAAAGAAAACTGTCCCATGCGTAAGTAATTTTGTGAACGTTAGAAACTAACTGATAAGAAAGACTTCACGGACGTAGATGTATACTTTGGTCTGACGTAAGAACACTCTGAAAATCAAAGTTAGTCAATCAGCAATACAAGTTCTCAAATGGTGCATTAATTAACTTAAAAGATATTAAGTTCTTTCTGCCCATTGGGGATGTAACTATTTTAACTATCGTGAAGGCGGACAACTGGAATCTTGAATCTAGTACAGAGCACGAGAAGTTGGTTTGTTTAATATTAACATATCTGGTTTAGATCCAAAGAAAAAGTTTCAATGTCAGCTTAAAATATGTTACAAGCAGATTTCACGACGCAATTTGAAAAAAAATCGAAGCAAGGACAATATGTATCCTCCTGGTCCTACTAGCACTGTATGCTGAAAAACTTACTAGGTCATCTGATCAGGACCACAAATTAACATGCTGAATATTGCCTGTTGATTTAAGGTTGGCCTATGCTATGTTCCGCTTCTACATTTATGTGGTTTACAGATTTGGTATGAAATTCCCTGCCTGCAGATTTGTTCCCTGTGCACTTTAACTTATAGGCATTATTATAAGTGTACGTACTCCATCGTTGACGTCATCGTTTCCCATTAGGTGATATGGAGTTGAAATACGCACTTGTTTCGTCTATAAAAAAAAGAAAAAATACTTATGTCAGTTATGTAATTACTTTTTAATCTGTATGGTACTGCTTTTTATGTTTGATTGAATTAGTCATTCACATAACCTCTTGATTTACTAGTTAGCACTATTTATCGTTGCAGGGAGCTCTTCATGAACTACGTGGTAAAAGTCGCTGATATGGTAAAAAATATCGCACCCGAATCAACCACTCTTGTATGGTGGGACATGATTCAATCTATGAGTAATTCTTTAAATAACTATACAGGGCGCTACGACTACATAGACGTGGTATACTGGTGTTACACTCCCAAAGTAAATATACCACTTGAACTTCTATATAACGTACATAAGAAATTTGCGAACACATGGATAGCTTCGGCATATAAAGGCGTCGATGAACCAAATTCAAATTTACCGAACATCGTTCACAGAGCCTTAAATACTTTGAGCTGGATGAAGAAAGTTTTAGATTATAATTCAAAAAAAACAAACACAGGACACCATTTGAAAGGAATCTTCTTGACGGGTTGGTCGCACCGTCGTCTTATCGAACCTATTTGTAATTTACTCGTGCCCTCGATACCGTGCCTACTCATCGATTTAACAATCATAAACCAATTCAAGAATAAAGTTATTAATGTAAATGTTGATTATTCTAGAGTAATGAATGATGTAGCAAATTATATAAAAATTACATTAAATTGTGATCACAATATCGACTTTACAAACGATTTGACATTCTGCAAATTTGAAGGATATGAATTGTACACTGTAATGTACAACTACGACGAAATTTTGAAAAGAATAAACCACGATATTCAGGAGTTACATCATTATGTAAATGTAAGACCAAATGTAAAAATAGGCAATAGCGGCACTATAAAACTACAAGATCTTCAGGCTTGGTGTAAAGTTATAGAAGCTGAAATACATAATTTTACAGACGCATTCAAGTCATCTATGGCTCCTTATTATGAAAAGACTGTTATTGAGGAATACATCGACGATAAATCTATAGAAGCAAATATGATAATTTATTTGTGCGACACTTCATATTGGTAAATACCACTGGGTAGTCTAAATTGTTGCATTAAAATAAATATTAAAATTATTTATTTTAATTACTTTTTTACTGTACTCAAACTATAACCAGGAAGTAGTATCCGCTGTCTATACACATTAATAAATGTTTTTATAAGATGCATACTTTAATACCATGACATACAGAAATTTAAGGGATTTTACGTATTATCGTAAAACCTAAGCTAAAATGGTAATGCTTATAAAAAATATTCTTCGTATAAAATTGATTTATGATATACTTAAAACTTTCTCACAAATGTGATGATACATATTATATGCCACACGAGCGGAATACGAATTACAAACGTTCGGACCAAAGCTTTTTAAAAAACAAACACTTGTAGACGATTCAAGCAATAATCTGTGATGGGAACCAGTCAAGCCAACGTAAATAGACTTAGAATGTCTTTAAAAATATTCTCTACATAATCCATACATTTACAATTTATCATGCGGGTAGGTGCTACTATATTCTATTAATAGCAACGGGTTGTAACCCTAACTAGCCGTGAACAGGTTCACGGCAATGAAACGGGAAACTTCCGGTCCACAAAATTTATTAAAGAAGTAAAGTTTAAAGAAAGAACTGTAACAATAAAAAGGTAAATGTAAAAAAACAGGTACAACCAGCCAGTGAAAAGCGCCAGAAAGCATCTGTACAAATCTTTATATTCGTGTAATAGCCAGGGTTTCAATGGCGGCACCATTACATCCGGGTTTATGGCTTCATTTTTGGTCGAAAAACTATTGCAGCAATTTTTTGATAATTCTTTTGCTCCGACTGTTGTATTATATGTTTTGTATTATAACTTCGTAAAGAATTAAAAATAAGATTTCAGTAAATGGAATTTGAAATAGCTCCGACTGTTGTGGCGGTCGAACTGACCGCGGGAGTGACCGTGGTATGAAAACAAAATGAGAAAGTGAAGGAAGATAGAACAATTCAAATTTAAAATTTAAATACATGTAAAATAAAAAATGATAGGATACAAGCGAAGAGAGGCGATACAAAGAGGTGAGATGACGGTGTAAGGAGGTCACACCGTCACAATCGTATGTCCACTATGCGATCCACTATATTATTACTGCCGCTACCAGCGTCACAAATAGCAGCCATGCTGAAGTGTGAGACATGTTTGCCATAGTAATGAAAGAATCTGCCAATCGGCGTAACGTGCTCGCTAGTCCAGCATGCTTCAGATGTAGAGGACATGCATATTTTCGTGCAACCCATTGAGACACAAAGCTCTATTATGGTTCATCAGAAGTTTACATTGAATACGTACTTATTTCTACACAGGCTGTATGAGCTCATGCTACAAAGATCGTTCTTTGTTTGTCAGGTAACATTGAATTTTAATGAAATCGTGCAAGGTAAACTACAGATAATGACATTCAACTAAATTCAACACACGCTCATACAAAACGCGTTTTCAAATTTCCACTGACCGTGGAAAATTTTGCAGTAGTCATTTCTAAGTAAGTACTTATTGACAAATAAGTTTCAGTTTCGCTTTGTTGTTACAAAGTGATTTTCTGAAACGGATTTGTAAAGGTATACAGTATAGCGCCATTTAGTTTCTTCAAGAAATACTTATATGGGAAACCATTGCCTACGGGTGTTTCTAGGTTGGATTCCGAAACTGGCACTTCGAATTATGTACATCCTCATATCTTTCTACATAAGTTTTGTTTATAGTGACACTCCCTATCAATCTCTTGGTTTTGCGGGAAGGGCACTATAAACCTGTGCAAGCAAGTCCGCACAGGGACCATCTTAGTCAGGTCCTAACCCCAGATCGCCCATTTGCACGGACTTCACCCGGTTCTCAAAATGCTAGTGCCTTAGATGAGCCGCTCCGGGAACTCGTACAGCACCCTCTCTGTTTTCCAGATGGGTACCGGAGCTGTAGGTACGCTCACTGTCCGTTGTGCTCTGCATAACTAACTGTTGCCACCGCTGAGCCGTCGACTCTAAGACTGCCAAATCTCCTGAACTACTTTTACTGAAGCGTGTATATTTAGGACATTTTAATGTACATAGCTGGGTCATAGGTTATCAATGAAAGTAAAACCTGTAAGTCGGAGATGGATTACTAAACTCACGAAATGTGTACCCCAACCATTGACCTATCAACAACCCCAACATATAAGCCTGATAGGTGGACTATGGCTTAAACTTTTTTCAATATTGCCTCCGTGGCCGAAGGGTTACCGTGCCAGACTGCCGCAGAGGTTCCAGGTTCGATTCCCGGGCGGGGGAAATAGTTGTATGGCCTACATTTATTTCTCTCGTGATTTTGGGTGTAATCTGCCTGTGTGTGTCCATGGCTTCCGCGACACAGGGTTTCCCTAGTGCGGGGCTATGTTGAGTGTGTGCGTTATTATTAATATTAGATGTTATTATTATTATTAATCTAATTAGATGATGATGATGAATTCAAAAATGGAATTGCTTTTGCTCTTTTATTGTACACGAATAATTGTATTATATTCCGGCATTAATTCTGTGGGTTATTGTTCCGGTTTCTGTAGTGGCATAATCAATTATGTACAGGAACAAAAACACGTTTTGCTTGTGTTTTAACACAATATAACAATTTCGAAGTAACAATAGACAATGAAGATGAACCAACATAGACCAATTTAAAAATATTCGTTTTTAGGGTTATTTTAAGTACTTGTTTTATAGCCATTGACTTAAGTCAATGTGCGTAGCAGTAAAATTTATTACAGCATTTTTTTTAATCCTATCTCCCTTACTTTTATATTTTAAGAGATACTACGTCATACGATACTACCTCAGCTCGAATTCAATTTTTTCACGTACTTAATTTATTTTGCTTAAATCGAGCGGCTACACTGGGAACACTGGCTTTATATCAGAATTTATTTTTTTTATTAAATGAAATTAAAACCATTTGATAAACTTACATCGTATGGTATAATACGTGTTCTGTTTAGTTCAGTTGATATAAAAAAATAATCATTGGCGTATGTTAAGTACCTATTAAATACAGCGGTTTTCTTGTAAAATTTCGAGGTAAGTTTGTATTTTTTTCTATCGTGAAAATTTTTAGGAATAGTGTTTTCACACTATATAAGTGATCAGTGCATATCCTCAATTTTTACTATTACATTTTTTCCAAACTGATTGATTCATCAATCAACCAAAGCCATTTGAGGCAGAGTAGACTCAGAGTTTAATTTTAATGTGAACCAACCAGATGATCCACGGGCAAGAAGCGTTAATTTTCCAATTCATATGAGTGTGATCTTTCTTGACAGGCAGCGAGATCGTGTTCTCTTACTGATACGCCTTGTTACGTTTCTATAAATTTTTTTATTAGTTTATTTTCTTTTACATATCTCTCATGCACAGCTGCGTGTTAAAGACACCATGTGGCCCTAGAACGCATGACAGATTAAAAACACAGCTGCGATAAGTTTTGTGCCGACTGTTCTAGCTACTTGTAAACTATATTATTATTGTGGTCTGTGAGTGGTAATACAGTGGTACCTCTCTAAAATTTGAATATTATTATTATTAATATTTGAATATAATTATTTGTTTGCTGTGACTGGATGAAATTCAGGTCTCCATTTTTTTTTTTTGGAGTAGTCATCAAGATACGGAACGAACAAGTGGTACACCTGGTCCAAGAACTGATCAACACTGATACTACGCAGCAGTGGAGCCCCGTTACTGCGTTCCGGTTTTTTTAGTCCCTCCTTCCACCCCTCCGATATTTATTATTCGGGGTCCTTGTATATATGTTGTTTCTATGTATGTTTCTTTTTTATTATTATTATTCTTCCTTTACTCTCTCTGTGTTATGTATTTATTTATATGTGTGTGATTTTTATTACCTAACTGGCATTTAATTTTTGTAAAAATAAAAAATTGTCAAAAATAAAAATTTTAAATTTTAAATCAAATAAAATCCATGCTTTAATTGACCTACATAGTATAAACTCATTTGTAAAATCATTAAAATAATAATAATAATGTCATAAAATTGTAAAAAATAATAAAATATTGTAAATCATCATCTAAAAAACTAAATAAAATATTGCGTCAGAATTTAACTAATAATTTCGCCCACGTTGTCCCCTCCGCATTAGCGAAGGCTTCGTTTTCGCCTACCTGCTTTCATAATCGCCACACAGAAGTCGGTAAATTTCGGTCCTAAACGCTTCCCTGCTCTCTATGTCGAGGTCGAAAGTTTGAGTTTATTTTCTTGCACAGAGTCAAGAGCACGTCAAGCTTGACACTTAAGATTTAAATCCAACTCTATGCCGCTTACGAAAAGAGCGGTCCAAAGTTCGAAGTGTCAAGCTTGACGTGCTCTCGACTGTACGTCAGGCGCGCCCTGGGCATCAATAGCGAGCTCGTTACGCCG